TTTTTAAATTATTTTAAAATCAAAAAGCCAAAAAAAAATAAAGCTATAAAAAACGGAAAAAAAAAACAAAAGAAAAACTACTCATTCAAATCGGGGAATAGTTTCAAGTTGGAGTTTTAAAATAATTAAAATAAAAAAAGATATCTTATAATTAACTATAATAAAAAAACGAAAATATAAATATATAAGAAAATAACTACCCATTCAAATTGGTAGTTATTTTTAATTAATAATTAGTTATTGACCGCGCATCGCGCAGGTACGACTACTAGTTTAATTAATGAGAGAAATTTTTTATGTATAATAATACAGCAATCATCTAAATGCTGAAAAATATTATTACATTAGCATAATACAAGAATTTAAAATACAAGGACATCATCAAGACTTATACAAACGATCAATTTTGTTATGTCAATTAGATAATTATATATTATAGTTTAAACGCATTTAATGTGATGGTATCTTAACGAACACTTCTTTGTGGACAATATTTTTTATGTGTGTTTCCTCCTAATGTGTTGGTTGCTCTGCCTTAACCAGAACTCTTGTTGTCGATCTTGATATCTCCTTGAAAGTATAACATACATTTGTTCGTACAAGAAAATATATTGCGGTAAATGTAGTCCAATAGTAAGGATGTTTGTCCTTATGCTTTATTTATTAGTGCAAAACATAACCATACTAAAAATTATTTTCACACAAATGTAAAAGGGTATTACTTAGTTTCGAAAGGTGAAAGTTGAATTCAGGGATTAGAATATACTTTTCTTTTTTAATCATTTACGTTGTATGCTGGCATGGCCCTATCATTCAACCAACAAAGAGTACAAAAATATGAAGGGGACCTATATTGTTACCTCGTACAAATGAGGCAACGGCTACCCCTATTTACTGCCCTTATGCATTACATAAAATTGCGTTTTGCAGTTTGTCCCTATGGTGGCATGGCCCTATCATTCAACCAACAAAGAGTACAAAAATATGAAGGGGACCTATATTGTTACCTCGCACAAAGGAGGCAACGGCTACCCCTGTTTACTGCCCTTATGCATTGCATAAAATTGCGTTGTGCAGTTTGGCATATATACCATTGCATATACAATAATCTACCAATCAACAAAAACTCTTCACAAAAAAGTATCCTTCCTATGTTTATGCCTTAGTGACACCATCTGGATGTAATCCAATCTGTAAGGTCCAACTGCAGAAATAGAAAGATCATGATGGGAGAAAATAAGAAGTTCTTCATTGTCAATGCTCCATTTTGCTAATGCATCCGCAACTTGATTAGCTTCTCTATAACAATGGCGAATAGCACAATTGAGTTGACCGGCAATGTCTTGAATCCGTCTGATAATGCCCTGCATTTGCCAAGGAGGTTTTGATTTACCATTGATCAAATCAACCACAAGCTGAGAATCACACTCTAGTATAATGTTGGTGCAACCATTGCGACTACACCATTCCACCCCCGCTAAGGCTGCACTAGCTTCAGCCATGTTGCTACTTGTTCTGTCAATTGAAAAGGCAAATGTCATAGTTAGCTTACCCCTATGATCTCTGCATATGCCACCAATACCCGAATTTCCTTCTGCATCTTTGCTTCCATCGGTATTAATCTTAAGCCAATATTCAAGAGATTTATGTCATTTAACAACTACGAAATCAATTTTGGGAATGAGTAATAACACTTGTTTACAGATATCTACCCAACTCCCTGCCCATTGCCTATTACACTTAGCCTTTGATAGACAAAATCTGGTAATGTATTCTTTTCAAGTAAACTCTAGTATTGCCATATCTTACTGAACACCTGGCCTTTCATATCTCCTAAAAAATTACCACAGGTATTATCTGAAGAATAGTTTGATGAATACAGTTCTTTGGTTTGATGTCCCACCATCTTTGTACTATAGCTCTGATAGGTATGTCATCCCATGTAATACCTAGTGGGCTCCCAAAGAACTTCCAAGTCTGTTCAGCTACGGTACCACTAATAAAAGTATGGTGAAGAGTTTCTCTTTGTGGGTTAACACAGCAGAAGCATTTGGATACCATACTCAGTCCAAACTTAATAATGATGTCATCAAAAGGTAATTTCCTTTTCAATATTCTCCATAGCATAAAAGACATTTGAAAAGTAATTTCTTATGCCAAATTTTCTTCAAGAAGATACAAGAGTCTTTTCTTTGTCTAACTCTATCCCAGGCTGAAGATGTAGTAAAGTTACCAGTACTATCAGGCATCCAAACTGGTATATCGCAACAACTTTGGTTCCTTATGCCAATAGCTCGAATTTGTTCTATAAGGAACATTGGTATCCACATCCCATTTATCATCAGTAATAACATCTCTAACCACCTGGACCCCACTGATGTCTTGTCTATGAATTATTTGAGCCACAGCACCCATTTCAGACCAATTGTCCTGCCCAAATTCTACTATTTCCAGCATTAATTTTCCAGAGTAGTTCTTCCTCCACATTATCTCTTATTTTGAGCAAGTTTTTCCAAGCATGAGATTGAGAAGTATTGAGCAGGAACAGATACAGGATAATTAGAACAATATTTAGCCATTAAGAAAATCGACCATAAGGATTTGCAGGTTCTGAACCTCCACCACATCTTCATAGTCAGACTTTCACTAACATCCAAATACTTCTAAACCCTAACCCTCCCTCCTCCTTAGGATAACATAGATTGGACCATGAACTCCAGTGATATTTTTGCTTACCTTCATCTGATCCCTAGAAAAACCTAGCCATATAAGTCTCAAGTTGTTTAAACACTGCCTTTGGAGGTTATAATGTTGATAGCAAGTAAATGGGATGTGATTGCAAAACATGTTTGATGAGTGTTGCTCTGCCACCAACAGACAAAAGTTTTCCCTGCCAACAAGTGGTCCTTTTCACAAGTTTAGAAACTATCTCACTGAAGTGCGAAATTCTCTTTCTTTCTACATATAATGGGCATCCAAGATATGTTATAGGGAAGTTAGCATGTCTGTATCCAGTCACCTCTTTAATCCTTTGAATGGTAATGTTGGATGCTTTAGGATCCACTAGAAAGCAACTCTTTCATGTATTGATCAATTGTCCGGAGCACTTCTCGTAATTCTGTAATTGGTGCATGACTAGTTTCAATGCTCTTTTGCCACCAGAAGAGAATATTACTACATCATCTGCATATGCAAGATGAGTAACCTGTGGACCACTTTGCACCATTCTAAAGCCTCTAAACTAATGAATATGAGGTAACTGATTAAGCATAATAGACAAAACCTCTGCCCCTAGAATAAAGAGAGATGGAGACAAGGGGTCTCCTTGTTTCAAACCTCTAGTAGAATGAAAGAATCCTTTCCTACCCCCATTAATAAGCACAGAGTACCAGACATTTGAAATAGATATCCAAACTAAATCAATCCAATTCTCTGAAAATCCAAACTTCCTCAATGCATTCGACAAGAACTTTCAGTTGACCCTATCATAGGCCTTAGCCATATCCAGTTTAATGACGGTGTTCCCTCTAAAATTCTTCTTGCCAATACCATGGATAATCTCCTGAGCTAATAAAACATTTTCTGTAATGGATATTCCTTTTAGAAACCCAGTCTGATTGTTAAAAATTATCTTTGGCAATATGGAGTTCAATCTAGAACTCATGATTTTGGAAATTATCTTGTTAGAGCAGTTACTGAGACTAATCGGTCTCATATTATTGAATGAAGAAGGATTCTCAACCTTAGGTAGTAAAATAAGGCATGAGATGGTAAAGAATCTGCTAAGTTCTGCTCCACCAAAAAATTGCTGGATAAACTCTATCAACTCTAGCTTGATGATATCCCAACAACTTTGGTAGAAAGACCCTCCAAATCCATCTGGTCCTGGAGAACTATTCGAATTTAGATCAAAAACTGCCTTCCTAATCTCCTATTTATCAGGGATGACACAAAGCCTAATATTATCCTCATGAGTAACCTTCTGGTCAATACAATCCAAGTGTTGTAGATCTAGTTCTCCTTCATCTTTAAACATAGCTGAAAAATATTTCACAGCCTCCCTAGCAATATCTTCCTCCCCATTGATCCATTGCCCATCAGATCTTTGGATTCTATGTATAGATGTCCTTCTTCTTCTTTCATTAATTATTGCATGAAAATATTTAGTATTGGAATCTCCCTCCTCAATCCATTTGATATTTGCCCTCTGCTTGAGGATAGATTCCTCACATTTTAACCACTTAGTGTGTTCTGCTTGAGCTTTGTGCACTTGAGGTCTAAGGTCCTCAACATCATTATCAATGTATTCTGTTTCAAGATCTTGCATTTTATGCTCCCATTCTTTGACTTGATCAAAGACACTCCCAATTTTCTCTCTAGACCACTGACTAAGCTTGGAACTAACTTGTTTCAGCTTGAGTTGTAGCCTTCTCATGTAGTTTCCCTCAACGTCTATATTCCATGCCTCTTGCACAATAGTTTTAAAATTTGGTCGGTCAATCCAGAAGTTCAAGAATTTGAAATATTTGATAACAGGTTGTTCTGAAGTAGAACACTTTACTAGCATAGGTGTATGGTCTGACCCTGTGCTTGCTAAGTGTTCTATATCTATAAAAGAAAATTTGTCAGTCCAGTGATGATTAATAAACACCCTATCTAGCCTTTTCCATATTCTCTGATGTCTTCCCCTTGCATTACACCAAGTGAACCTCAGTCCTTTGTAACTTGCATCCACCATACCACAATCCTCCATACACGATATAAATTCCCAACTCTTCTCCATTCTGTGAGGATTGCCTCCTTTCTTTTCTTTTGGACCCATAATTGCATTGAAATCCCCATATATGCACCAGGGATCATCAATATAGTTGTTGCAGTGTATCAAATTATCCCACAAAGGAACTCTTAGATATTGTTTAGATTTAGCATATACTGTTGTGAACCAGACAACTTCACCGTCATTCTTCCTGGTAATCTTGAATGTAATTTGTTGCTCATTATTCTCTGCCACTGCTGCATCAAATTCAGCTGACCATAAGACCCAGATTTTTCCATTACAATTTGCATAACAACCTTCGAAACCCAAACCTCTTCTATATTTGTCTATTTGATTTGCTTTAACAAAGGGTTCTTGTATAGCTATAATTTGAGTTTTATGAAGACCTGTTAAAAATTTCAACCTTTCAAAAGCCCCTCTGGACTTTACTCCTCTAATATTCCAAATGATTGTACTAATCATTAAGAACATCAGAAGAAACTTCAACACTTTGAGCTGTTTTCCCTATAACCTTTGTGATCGGGCGAGGCTTTGGCATGCCTTTGTGACCTTCATGTTTACTTTTGCAAATATTCCTTGGAGATAAGTTTCTTGTATCGACGAGCTCCTTCCTCTGTTGTGAAACAGCATCCTCTATCACTTCACCTTTTTATGAAGTTATAAGTGCAAAAGCTTCAATAAGAGCCTCTTCATCTGAAGAATTACATTCTTCATATTCGACCTCTGGAACATCTTCACTTTTACTCTCTTGTTCTTCTCCATAATCAGAATCATAATCACTCGAATCTCCCACCTTGTCATCCTTTGAATTAATCATCATATCTGTAGCAACATCTGGTTCCGGAATAACCACCTGAGTGGAACATTAACAGGAGGGATAGGATTCCAGAGTTGGACCTCCAAGTTAATAGCATGTACTTCAGTTGTCTTAGAAGATCTAGGCTTTAATATTTCAGAATTCTTCTTATTAGAACTAGCTGGTATCCTCTGCTTAGCTGAAGCATCAGACTTGCTCACCACTTGCCTTGATTCCTCATTGTCTTGATGTTCACATGTTTCTTCTTCCACTTCTAGTTACTGAAAAGAGTTTGCAATAGGAACAGGACTGTATGTGAAGTTGGAGATATTAGAATGCACATTCTGAACTATGTTGCCTTCATCTGCACTAGCCTCTACCACTACAACATTATTCTTTTGCAGAAACTTTTCAACAACTTCCTTAGCTTGTTCAATTTTCTGTTGTTGACAATTACTAGCAGATGGTCTTGCTACCCACTTCGCCTTGTCTTTCCTCCGCAGCTTGGTTCTAATCCCTTGTTAGATTCTCTGTTTGTTCATCGGTTTCTTCTTTTGTATAGTCTCCCCTTTATTACCAACAAGTAGTTGATGAACTTGAGATAATTTCTTGTTCCAGTTGAGAGAGCTTAGGTATATCACTAGTGGATGCAATCACCACTTTGTGATTGCCCCTATTATTAGGTATAACATTCTGCTTGGCAGAGATCACATCAGTATTAGCTACAGCTTTAGGATTAGCACTTGTTGTTGCTTTGTTAGCCAAAACATTGTCTCCAACTAGCTTCTTGTTATCTTTTTTGTTGGGTGCTAAGCATACCTTCTCCACATGACCTTGATATCTACAAGCATAACAGTAATCCGGAACAAAGTCATATTCAATATTTCCCAGAATCCACCCTTCTCCTCTCCTCCTTCCTCCTTAATACCCACCCAAATTGAATCTCTCCTCTGAATGGCCAAGTCAATCTCAACCATAACTTTTGCGAAATTTGGCCTCGATTTAACATCCGTAGCTTTATCAATTTTTAGAAGAGTTCCAATTGGGGACGTGATCCGGAATAGAGCATCCCAATTCTAGTAATGCCATTTAAGGCCAGGTAGTGATATCCAAATGGGAGCCAAAGAGGTCTCTTCTTCTGGATTAAAATCTATAGTCCAAGTGACCATTCTCATGAAACATCCCAAAACCCAAAGATTCCTTCTAGAATAGATATTAAGATAATCTTCTTCAACCGAGAAATCCATAAAAATATGTTTAGAGTTATAATGGCCAACTTTCACGGTACCTATAAGTGGGAACCTAGCGGCAAAATCCCTTCTGATATCGTCTAAGGACGGTTTTCCATGCGAGAATTTCCCAACAATAGTAAACCTGCAAGCTTTAGCCAATTCTTCCTCCTCTTGTGGTGAAAAGAAAACAGCTTGTTTTCCTTTATGTAGCTCTGGTGGTCTGAATTTGAGCTTTGTCTTCAATGTCGGAACAGCCACTGTAGCAGCATACGAGATCTTCTGGCCATGGTTGATATTGGAATTACTAGGTAGATCACTTACGTGTTCACCGGAAGACCGTAGCTGGCCTCCAATTGGTAGCGCATTCATCTCGAAGAAACGATATTTAGAAAGAATTTTGGGGGCGCGTGAGGCGCGTTCCAACTATGTTAATATTGGAATTACTAACATATTGTCGTATATATTAGAATATACTTAGAAGCACATTAACTAGTATCATAATTTTTGCATCTATGACATTATTGTCAAAACTTCTATATGCCATGTGTGTGATATGACATAAGCTATTTGGCGTATCTAAGTTTTTCAGTAGCATGACGGGCATATTGTTTCTTCAAAATTAACCTATATACAATGGAAGATCAATTTTAACTTAGTCTATTATATATACGGTGACACTACATACGTAAGAAATAAGAATCTTGACAACATGTATGGTAGAAGACCATTTGGTATTAAAGCATTTAAGTATTCTTCTTGGTAGTAATTATTGGTATCATTTTTTGTTGAATCAAATACTGAAAAATATTTTGTTTTTACTATAAAATTTTGCAATCAATCTTTTATTTAGTTGATCAACATACTCATTTCTGCTAGCTAAGATATCTTTTTGATTCTATCATGTGATTTGCACAAAATCTAATGATAGAAATATTTCTCTTATTAAATGCACTACTATTACCATTGGGATTGATAACCAAGTATTAAGGAATAACCAAATCATATTTTATTGGATGCTCTTCTTCGTTTCCGACACGAAGCAAGAAGACACTGAATACTGGATTTATTCTTACTTGATATTTCTTGTCAGTTGAATCTTTTCGTTTGAGGCCAGAAGTATAACTTTGGCAAGCTAGCTTTTACAGTCTCAGTTTTTGTCGATTTTGGAACTAATGGTACTACTTGACATAAATCACCTCTCAAACCATTAATTTTTCATCAAACGGTTCATTAATATTCAATATATCTCTAGAACTCCGGGCAATTATTTGACACTTAGTCATAAGTGCTTCATCCCATATTATCGATTTTGTTTTCCTTATAAATTTAGCATCATTGCTCTGCTTTGATATATTTGTTATAGTTATTTAAGTTGTTTGAAGAGGTATATCAAATCTAAAGTGGGTGACCTCACAATAAAATCGTTGTTGATACACCACTTTCTATTATTGCTAATAGTGTCATGCCTCTTGATATGATATTTGCAAGTAATTCATGACATTGAAATATTATTTTGATTCCGCCGGAGGTATCTACAAAGAATAATCCCGTTATACCAGAGTCGACTCTTTATAATATAGTCTTGAAAGCTTGTTCTTGTTTAGGATTTAGCTAATTGTGCTTCCTCAGACACTTGCATATCATTTTGATTCTTAATAATATACTAACCTTTTTACTTTGTGTTCTAACGCTCTTTTTATGGAATAAATTTATATACCCTAAAAAAAATTTAACTTGAATAAGAATTTACTCATATGATGAATTAAAAAAAAATTGAATTGGATTCTTGTGCTAAATAATTAATTAAAAGATTTAATTATTTATTTTTAACATAAAAAATAATTTATTCTATGTTGATTCAGATCTACTATTAGTACATCTCTTATTTTTAATATTTAATCTTAATTATAATTTTATTCACCATAAATTTTTAAAGAGTAAAAGATTGATATGACATTTTACTTTTAGATCTTTATATTTGTAGAATCACTAGTGGTATTGACTCTTAATGACTATTTTTTTTTTCTCTTTCTCATACATTTATATTCTTAAATATTTTCTTAGTTATTATTTAATAATTGGATTTTATTTAATATTACACGCAAAATTGATTAAAAAAATATTATTTGAGTAAAAAAATAGTTCAAATATAAAATAAAAATATGTTATCGTGGGGGTATTTTTTTCTCAATTTTAACTCTTCATGCAGATCATTTAATATTACTTTTATTTTTTTCTTCGTACTGGACATTATTTAGTGGTAATGTATTGCCAATACGAAGGATTCTTATGAAATTAATTTTATTAAACCTTCCTACATATTTTTAATGAGAATTTAATAGATAAAATTTTATTAATTTAAAACCTTACATATTAAAAATTAGCATAGAAGGTCAGACGAGTACCAAATTAAAACTTAATAAGAGATTAAGAATTAAAAAATAAAATAAAAATAAAAGGCACCAAGCAGGATGACTTTGAATCAATGCAACAAAACTATATGTTCGGGTTATGTTTGGATTTTAAATGTAGAAACATGTACAATGCAAATATAAAATCATTTGCAATACTACACACAAAATAGTTATTAATTTAAATACTAAATATAAGGTTAAAAGAATATAAAGACGTAGAAACTTACCTAACATATGCTTTGAAGATTGGATTCCAGATATCCAATAAAATATCGGCGGAGTGACTCAATTAACTCTTAAAAGTATATGTAATTACAGTGAATCCTTTATTCAAATTAGGAACAAAAATATTGAATAACTTCATAATAGAGGATAGAGAATAAATCAAAATTCACTATAGTTGTTACAACATCAAAGAAAATACCGTACAAGACTAATCTTTGAAAGAAAATTCACGTGTTGAGGGAAAGTAAATTGCCTATAGTCTATAGAAAGACTAACATTCCAATATTCACAGGTACTGCTTGTTCATAGCTTGTATAACTTTGGAATTTAATCATGGTAGGAACTGATTTAAAGATTCTTCAACAATACTTTTGCTTGTTCAAAATAAAGAAAACTCTTTATATATACAAACAACAGAAGCTTCGAATTATTCTTCTCCTAGTCGGATTGGAATGGTTCTAGAATTTTAACATAAGTAAAAATTCTTGTCCTTGTGAGATTGGATTGGCTTTAAAAGTTCAATACAAGTAGAAAAGAATATCGCAAATAGCTAAGAAGTTCGAACTTAAGGGGTATTATTATCTGAAATCTAATAATTTTATCCAATTATATCCTAAAACTAATAGGGTTATAAGACTAATATTTTGAATTCCTGTTATGTCCTTTTATTATCTTATTATGTTTAATATTATAAGGTTAGTTCTGTAAACCGACATTGTATTCATGCTTTTATAATAATATAGATGATGATGATAATAATAATAATAATAATAATAATAATAATAATATAAATAAACATAACCGTAGTCGTAGTGTATTAATTAAAACAAATTGAAATAATAGTGGGAAAAAGAAATGAAATGAAAAGAAAATCACGTTATGCACTTCTTATAGCTCTTCTTGTCACCGCTCCAAATCATAAATTCAAGAAGTAGAAGTGAGACAAAAATTAGTTAGATTCTCCTCGGAATATGGGTTTGTGTCCAACTACGGTGTGCAAAACTAGGGGTGTTCGAACCGGAAAACCGCATCAAACCGAAAAACCAAACCAAACTGATTAAAAAACCCAATTAGGTTTGGTTTGATTTGGTATTGAGTAAAAAAATTCGAACCAAACCGTCATATAAATATATAAATTTTATTTATATTTTTAAGACTTTATAGTGATTTTTCTTTAGAAAATGTAGAAATATTTGGGATCCTCTTATGTATTAACCTTGAAAGCGTAACTTAACGAAAAATTATTGTTAGACGACTAAGAAAATAACTACCATGTGTTACTAAAAAAATTCTCCCATTAGAATATTTTAATAGATCATATGTTTGTCAATTTTTTCCATATTTACTAAACATATATTCACTTATCAAAGCTTTATCTATAATTTTAATAAAGTAAGATTGAAATAATATTCATGTAATAAAAAAACCTGAAAACCCGAAAAACCCGACAAAATCGAACCAATCCGAACCGATATAATTGGTTTGGTTTGGTTTTGATAAAAACCGAACCAATCCGGTCCATGTACACCCCTATGCAAAACTATACAAGTTTGTGCCAATTAATAATAGGAGTATATTTTTGTTTTAATTGTATCAATTACTATTATGAAAATTTCCACTTTCCTTCACTTATTTATCATACTTCGTCTCAACAAACAATCACTTTAGATTGCTTGACCATTAAACTTGCCAACCATCGATTACAAGTGTTGAAAATATTTTTCTATAGTTTGACCGAAAATTGGATAAGATTCTCATTCTTCCAATCTTGTGAGAGGGATATTTCCCTCCCACTGCTGGCCCAATAAAAAGAAGAGGAAGAATACAAGAATATGCTTCTAGTGATGAATTATGCTTTAACAACGCAGACTTAATTAAAGATATGACACAATGAAAGATAAGGATTTATATATGTGATATATGTTTACTAGTTGGAAATATATTTTAGATTTGTTACAGAACTCCCAATTATATATACATACATATGTAAGACTTATTTTTTACTTTTATTTTATTTGATATGATAATAATATAGTCGATGTTAACTTTTTTGGGACCGAGAGATAGTCGTTACGTTGTTGTTGATTAATCACGGTCGGAGATATTAATCTTAACTGGAAAAATAGTCGGACAGTAGTAGGGTAGAGTTTTGGTAAGTGATGACTCGTTGTGGAAAAGCATTTGTACTCCGCATGCTGTATACTTTTATTTATCTAAAACTTTTCACTTTTTACTTTTGAAGTAAGATTTACCAACTCAAAAATTTTAAAAGTTCGAGTTCTTATTTTTAGAAGGAATGTTTATTTGTCCTGCCATATTGAGAAGATTATTTGATGAATTATCTTTATTGATTCTATCATTTACCGATTCGACTTAGGAGCAGCAATCATTGCACATCTAAGAGATTGATAAAATTGGAATAGGATATCCTTAATCGAGTTGCTACAACAATTCTTGAATGGGAAAGGTTCATTCACAACCCCAAAACCAAAGGCAAAAATCTATGGCCAAGCTATTGCCTTATTAGCCGTTATGGCAAATTGAATTTGTTACAAAAAATAAGAAGTCAAATTACTGTATTATTTTCTGGCATACCTTTAATTTATTGTTCCAATCAGGTGTTGAACGATTTTTCTTAAAGGATATGTAAAAACCTTTAAAGATACATAATAGCATAACGGTATATATATATATATATATATACCGAATGTTATACCAAACCAACTCAAC